TTTGTGTGCCAACAGAAGTTACATTCTTAGAAGTGTTACAGTCAGGATTTGGATTCCAGAATCACTACGTCATGCCGGCCGGTGGGGATTATTAGCTTGACCCTCTGGAGCCTGAACCTTAATCCCCCTGGGCTGTCATCCTAATCTTTCTAGGCCAAGCCCTGTAAAATGTTTGTGTTATAAGACTCTTTGTATAATGAGTGAACAGGGAATGTGCTTAGACACTATAAATTGGGTAGACCTCCCACATTTGAAGCAAAATATGGATGGAAAGAACCCCCCCGCGCCTTTGTGTTGGCCATTGTTTGATCGGAATCTCAGAAATTCTTTACAGACTTCTAAGGGTTGTGTTAGGTAACAATAGTCTAGAGTGTGTATAGGGATTGGACAGGTAGGAGGGTACCCCTCCGTCCCATATCTTGCCTGGTATAACCTCCCATGCCGCGTTCCCTGTTGACCATACCACCACGTACAGGCGAGGCGATCAACGAGCCAGCAATTACCAATGTCCAAGTCAAGCTACTTTAATGAACCCACTGGGCGTAGCTGTTTCTCCCAAGCTTCGAATCATCGTGCTGGCTCTCAAGGCTACCGCCCATTGCCCTGAACTGTACCTGCACGGGTATGACATCGAACTGGGGGCATACTTCAATGTCAAGCCAAGTAGCACGGCATCGCCCTCGGGACCAGCGGTCGGTCAAGTTCCCCTCGTTGGACGTGGACCACACCTCGCAGCAGTCCTTGCCCAGCGGTCAACAGAGCAACCCGGCCTTCTTCGTTTTCTTATGTTCACCGGGCAATTTTTTTGTATGTATATCGGCCGACACTTCATTATTATAATTGTATAGATTTGTATTATATTTATTTACTTGTTAATCTCTCCATGTTGATTGACGTTGATTCATTATTAAAATTAATGCACTTTCAGTTCTTCTAATTCACGCTTCACTGCCTTGATAATTGTTGGCATGTTGAAAATGTTCTGTTTATTTGTTGGTTCTTTCCTCTTAAATTTTTTGCTGCCGTGTGCGACGGATTGGGTTTGTTAGTTGGTCTTTCCACAAGTAACAGAAGTTAAATGTTTGAATATTTATAATTAAAATAAACCATTCATGTTGTCGTTGGAAAAGGCCAACTATTGTAAGAAACCTAAAAACACCTGCGCTGAGGGAACCTTCCTTCTTGTACTGCGTTTTAATCATATTAACCTATAAATGAGTAACAGGACATTTATTGTCAAAGTGGTGTCATGACTTGTGTAACCTTGTATTCTAATCAAATTGAACGTATATTTTGCGATTTTAAATTACAAGCAAATGCAAATGAATGCTCACTTCCAAAGGGTCACGGTAAAAGACAAATTTTCAGTGAATAGGAACGCATATTTCTTGTAATTGTCAAGGAATACGTCAATCCGAAATCCCAATCACGTACTTGTAACTTCTTTATTAATGAAAGGTATTGCACATTCATTGATTTGAAGGATGCAAAACAATTCGAATGCTTGTTATTGCGAAAATAAAACCAGGTTTCAAGCCGTTTACAGAATATACGCTAAATTGAAAATTTATTTTACAAATTACATCGTGCATTTCCCAATTGGCTGGGAAACCCTATTTTAGAATCTTTCTTAAACGCAGATTGTTTTAACTTTATATCCTTTTAATTTACAAAATCCTTAATTTTTTTTCGTCTGTTTTATTTGGCTCTTCCCAAAAGACTAATATAAAGTGTAATTCCGTAACTGTTCATCTACGTGCGAGATCACCGCATTGCACTGCACTTTACGTATTTTAGATTTTTGGAAGAGATAGGTCTATTTCTGATTTAGATCAGGTAATGTTTTTCATTTTCGATGTATTGATATGTTAGCAACTATTATGTTTTTAAAAAGTACCTGAACGAATTTTTGCACGTTAATTTTCCTATCCAACGGTTCCGGCAGTACCCCATCAGGGATCAACTTTGAGGGAACATTCACTTGAGCATTTATTTCTTAAGTTTAGGGTATCCGCTTCGCACAGCGTTTTGTTTTGCGGAATTTGTCCTAGAAACATTATTAAGATTATTGCCATTCTCCATTTATGTTGGCAATTAAGTCAGCGGCATGAAACGTTGTTTCTTCGATTTAAGCAAAAAACGAGGTTCGCTCGGAAATGAGACCCACAGCATGAGCTATGAGCGTTTCAGCAGTCGTCATTTGAAAATGGGGAGATAATTTGGTGAATATGGTAACCTATTAACTGAAGAGTAAAATTTTATGTAAAATCATTTGTGTGCAACAGTTTAATAGGTTGGCTATTTTAGGGCACGCCAATGCATTTACGTCAAGGAGAATGGACGAGGAACTTGTAGATTCGATGCGAAGCCGAGCGCACGGATCTACAGTTCCGAGTCTATTCTCTGACAAACTTTTTTTTCCCGATTGTTACATGAACATAAAGCCCCGAGTCTATGACACTCTCGCCAGCATGCACATCTTCGTTACATTATTGTTCACGGGTTAGGGCCACGTGAAACATCAACAGTGCTCGTGCTGTTAACATCGTCAGTGATCATTATGCTCTCTTCTCTTCCTCTTAAGCCTTAGAGTCATTATTACGCGTGGGTCATTGCAGCAACACACATCGCACTAAAACCACCACAGGACTCTATGAAATTGAGGCGTGTTGTATCAACTTCATGAGATTATTTGTGCAGTCGACACTCAGTGCTGTATATATATATACCTGTATTCTCTTCATCTTGCGCCTTGGATTCGTTATTATGCGTGTGTCATTGCAGCGAAACCTTCCAGATTAACACCACCACAGGACTCTATGAAATTGAGGAATGCTATATCAACTTCATGAAGTGTGGTATGGCACTTTTCGAACCACTTTACAAATTACTCAAAATGAGCTTCACTGATCCTTACATGTTCTTATGTATGAATCATTCCGAAATGCCCCCTTGCATCCGATTGCTGTTTCATTTGGAGAATGGGCAACTTGGATTTAAATTACGATGGCAATTTTGGAGTTCAGTGATAACATTAAAGAATTTCTATATAGTACACATATCCGCCTAAAAATGCTTATGGCGCTACAATCAACCTGGGTACATCTTCTAGTTGCTCCAAGATCATGCCGGTCCTGAGGTGACAGATCTATCAGAATCGCTGCTGCCCGAGTGTACGGTCCAGCACATATACAGGGTGTCCCAGAAAAAAACAAACCCTGAGGAAAGGGCTTAATATGCCCAAACCATGAGATATGATTATTACGTAGAAGGATCTCCAAAAAGTAGAAGCAGTATTCCTTCTAATGATACCTTGATGGTATCCTTCCTGTCACGCATGACTGAACACTATTGTCTTGAAAAGGGGGCATCCAAACTCAGTTGCAACACTTTGGATAAACCAGTGAATGAGGCTGTCCTCTGTCAAGCTTGTCCTGGATAAGATATCAGGGGCACACCGGGTTATGAATAAACATATAGTTACTGGAGAAAATAGCCCGAGTACCTGAAAACGCCATTGAAACAACAACTGTTATGTTCTTCCCCAACCCTTTGGTCACAACTACCTTAACCAAAACGGGGGGGGCAGACGAATCTACATTTACTGCTTACAAATCTACATTATTAGGTCAGTTTATTGTAATGTATCTAGAATATTTCCAAATCAAGTTACGGGACAGGATCATTACTTGACGAACCATATAAGAAATAGTGACATAAATTTTAAAAGACACAAAACGAGAACCTCATCAATATTTTTCATTTTCTCCATCCTCATCAGTTTCGTGCCCTATTTCTCATGATGCAACAGGAAATTGGAATTTTGGATTTTATAATAACAAAGCCTCAATGTGTTTGCACACAATTACTAAGTCATGGACTAATGGGCAGATTATTTACGAGGCAATTAAACCCAAATTTCCCACCTCTGCTTTGTACTCCACCATCACTGTATCAAATACACCCGCCCAGAAATCACTTTGTTAATTGAGCTATTTATCTTTCAGTCTCGGTTCACAATTTGGCATTTTAGGGTTGATATCTTTGTTACTGAGGTTATTCTTAAAGAGATAGGGCCCAACCTGGGTAGATTTGTCTCCATGGTGACAACTACTAATCCCATAATCCATTTCACTGTTTCAAGTCCCAATGTTCTTCTTACTGAATTCTAGATCTGTTCTGAGATCCCAATATACAAACAATGTACATGAATACATGAGTGGACTCGATCTACAAACGGAAGAAGGCGTTTTATACCTTTCAAAATTTGTTGTTACATACAGTAAATCAAAGAGATAGTTTCTTCTCGAACGTACGTGAAAAGAGAGCACAGGACTGGTGAGAAACATGTGAAATTGAGTGAAATTGATATTCATCATCAGTTATATGCTTCCTTGCGCTTGCCTTTGTCATATGAGGCAATTGTTTCTGGTTTTTGCGTTTACGTCAGTCACAACCCAAACATGTTTCTAGTTAGGGGTTGCCAAAACGCCCTGGCCCGGGGAAGCTCAATTTAGGTCACGGACGTCATATTAAAAAACATAACGTCCCTGGTCTTGGCGTAAAGCCATGTCGTTTCATTTCACAGTGAAACCCCTTCGCTCGTAAACACTACCCAGTCCGAGGTTGTTGGTGACCTGAGCCCAAGTTCATGGCACTGCTGAACAGCTAGCAGAAAAGTCGTGCTTAGTATAGAACAAAATATGCTAACCATTAACACTGTTTCATGGCGGTGCTTGGTGGTGTTGTACTTACGGTAGCGCATGCACAGAGAGATTCCAACTGTTTTATCACTACATCAAGGAACTTTTTCCTCTCAGTTAAGCTTGCCTTTTACCGTGCTTACTGCTTAGTCTTCATGAATTGGGCCCAAGCATTTTGAGTCCCGCGTATAAGCAACATTTCCACTGCAGTGGTGTAAGTTCGTACAGGGATTAATGCATGTGGTAGTTCTTAATAAAAGTACTGATAATGAGCAATCTGCTTATTGATTTTTACAGGATGCAGAGGACACACCAACAAACGCACTACTGACATGGATTAAAGGTAGCAGGCTTCGTGACCTCCCTAGGCATTGATATTCGTGAAATACCAGAAGGTTCCGATACGCTCGGGTATTGTTCTTGGCTGAAGTTCAAGTTGGAGCTCAAACAGCAGACATGCAGGAAAAAGCGGCCATAATTATCTACGTTATTCTGGCGATCTGCGGAGCTTCAGTGGGTACTGCATCATCCCATGGTAAGGAGTCCTTCGCTGAATATTATTTCAGCCGAAGATCTTTGAATTGCTTGCAGTAAACAATCCTGATGTAAAGTCGTGAAGGTGTTTTAAAAGCTTACACGATTGGTGTTTTTGCTTACTGCCTTGTTTGCTCTGGGAAGGGGGCAGAGAGTCAACTCTGTGGGAGCGTTGATCGGGGAGGGGGCAATATCGGATAATGAGGCCTTGCTCTTCATGACGGCACAGTACACCACGTTTCGCACAAGGCACTGGGCTATTGCAATACACGGAGAATGTGCCTGCGCCCTAATCATAATAAAGCAACGTCCTTACAGAAATTATTTTTAGCCAAGAATCCCCCTTAAAGGCTGGTAATGTCTTCACTTCCATCGGATGGTTTTTTATAAATGCAAACGAACAAAATAGGACGAACGAACATGAACAGTTATCGTTTAACTATCCCACGAATGCAACTCATGAAAATGCGTTGAACTTGGCCACGCTGCAGGGAAGAATCCCACGCAACGGGCACCAAGCTGGTCCAAGAGAGGGTGCGATTTTCCTAGCAACAGGTGCTCCTTTGGTGAGAATTTGGATGGTTCACGAAGGACTATGAGATGCATCCGTTGCGTGCGCGTCGCTACCAACAAAACGAATACTTCCGATCAGCATGGCTCTTTTCAAACGATGAGGGGGTGCTTCTGCTAAAGGCGGAATGGACTTTAAGGTTGCACTGCACCAAATTCGCACCCATTGAAAACAGTGCAAAATCAGACCGAAAAAGCGCCGCCCGTCGACTCTCAGGAAGAGGTTGGCCTCTGTTTTTTCACCGGAAATTCAAGATTATGGCCAGAAGATCACTTTTCGTTTCAATTTTATGGGGGTTAGTCACGAAATTTTTTTATTCGCCTTTCCCAGAGAATACCCCCAAAATAGTTGTAAAACTATGCTCTCAGCTCTGAATGAAGTCACCCGCCTCTATCCGAGATAGGCCCGCAATATGGGGCTTTTTGTGACAGAAATACCCTGAACTAGAAACTATTAGTCCCATATTCGGGATATAAAGGAATATTTCTATGAACCCCCTGATTATGGCATGCTTTATTGTAAAAAACCCATGGAATCACAGAATATTAATGAGCTTGCGCGTAGAAATCCAACGATATGATGGCATGCACCCTTTAATAACGCTTTGCAGGATCTTTGGTGGGGAAAACATTGTCTCAAGACGAATAAGATTTACCTTAAATGCAATAACTAATTCAACAATCACAATAATTAGCATACTTTTCAAAGGCGGGCTTAATAATGTTTGCCACTGCTACTGCAAGTCTGCAGTGTTGCATGGTTGCATGCATTGTCAGTGCCAAGTCATGCAAAGGGACACCCTCTTCTCCCCTTCCCCCAAAAAGTCGTAAGGACTGGAAAGAAACTGTTATAAACACAAGAATTAGATAGCATGTGATGTGAAATTTATCGGTTGCCTCTTGTTTGCTTTTTTCCAGCTTTGGGGAGGGAGTTAATTGGTTGAAAGTGCCTGGTTGGGGAATTTCTGACAAATTTCTGTATCAACCACTGGGACAGAATAGCCTAACAATTAAAAACAGTCAAAAGCAAATCAAAACAATTTTATTTTCAACGATTTTCGTCTTTTTGCAAACGTAGTGATCACACTTATATCTATTCACTTCACAATGCGCCTGTGAAATATACTTCAAGTTAAGTGGTGATTGAAATGAAACAATAGCATTGCAGGTCTAATTTATTCTGCCGACGCAGCTCGCGTGCACGCTTGTCCTGCGTCCAAAAGAATTATGAAAAACATAACATTTTCACTTGGTTTACATGGAATAAAGAAGACTCTTCATAACCATAATTGCTCACAACCAGAAAGCATCATGGCTCGATACAGAAAGGTATGGTGTAAGATGAAACGAACCTGGTTTTAAAAAAGGTGGTGCTCAGTCATGTACTCTGATGAAACAAAAGGCTTAGATTTCAGAATCCTACGTCAGGCCTACAAATGAACACTTGCATCTGGCCTTTCCAACGGATGAACGGGGATTTTTCAGTCATAAATAAGATATAGTGACGCAAAAATGTGATGGTACTGCGATCAAACGTGGAAGAAATAACGCCAATCAGCAAACTCCATAATGAAGGGGTAGACAACTTCAACCTAGCCCGGGGGGTACCGATTTGTTAATATCAGCACTACAGTTGACACTACTGTTCAAGCTATGCTGGACCATCAGCGTCAAAAGTCTGCTTGTGATGGCCGGCCTCAGCTACTGGCAGAAAAGGAAACACATCAGGGCCTTGCTGTTTCAGAAGTACTGGCCTGCAAAAAGTGTCATTTCTCAACGGGAAGAAAAAAGCTATACTCCGAGATACCTCGTCAAGCCGGTAGAGGTCGAAGGACAGCTACTCCAAACTTGGCCTTCCAGGTTGAACCCCTCAACACGGGCATTGCAGCAACCGGGACGAGAAGACTCTTGACAGCCATGGGTACAATTGTTCCTTCAATAAGTGGACTGCAGAAAATAGCAACTAAATGTGCGGACATTATTATCAATGAAAAATGTTGGAAATATGGCTGACAATCTGAAACTGGTTAAAGACATTTAACAGTTACAGGGCTTTGATAGGGACAGGCCCATTGCTGTAGAAATAGATAGGCAATACACCGACTCTCTCAGAAACTGCCGAAAGAAAACACCATTTGTGCCGGCAACACAAACTACAGATGAAGTATGTGAAAATGTAAGCACAAAGAAAATGGTGATAATGTTCCACCATGAGAGTAAAACTTTGTAAATGTTCGAATCAAATGTCACGCAAATACAGAAACAAACGAGTAAGCACATGTTCTGAGCACAAAGATTCATGCAGTGCTACACGCCTGGAAAATTACAACATTGGGGACGAAAGAGAGGGAGGAAATCAGTATGCCAAAAAACTTCTGGAATGTAAGGAACCCCCTTTAGTGGATAGAATAACAAGTGATGCGATGGCTGTTTTTCGATGGCTGTTTTGCTGAGGGCTTTATTTCTGAAATACGGAAAAAAGCAGGCACTGAACCAAAACACTTTCTAGACAACTTCACTTCAACAGATCTCTTGGTTCAGCTATCAGCCAGCCCTCAGTCACTGCTGGCATGTTCCCAGGCCAAACTAAAAGAGACCAAAAAAGATACAGGACCGATTTAGTGATTATGTCAGTCACAGAGTGCAGGCAGAGGTAGCAGCAATTCTAAAGAAATGTAGCAGAAACTTGGCTCATTTACAGGATAAGGCCGTCAAAGCAGCACCAACCATTCCAGAATGTCACCAGGGCCATCTTGACCTGTGCAAGCAGCGGTTCGTGGTAATGGTGATTACAGATTTCCCTACCTTCCTGTTCATGTCAGGGGAAAACTGAATAGGCTAGAGTCTGATAAGACACTGCTCTCACTGAAAATTCAAAAAAGGCTGTGTCACGAAGCAATTCAAAAAACCCAATATGGTACGACAGCACAAAAAGTGGAGTCCATGAACCACGCATTCTCAAAAACAAATCCAAAAGGAACGCTAACCTTTTCCAGAAATGTCCCCTCACGAGACCACAGTGAAATTCATCTTGTCAACAACGGGCATGCCAACTCAATCATCATGAAGTGCAAAGCTGCAGGATGTCCTATTTTGCCTGGCTCTCCAGCTGCCGAAACTTTTGCTGAAATTGACAGAAAACAAAAGTATAATAAAAAACGGGCTAAGAGTTTTGTGGCGCCGCGCCCCTCCGACGAAGGCGAGGACGCCCTCCTCCTCGAGGCGCGGCGCGTCGGACGGCACGTACCGGAGAGTCCCTGAGTGGCTAGGGACGAGTCCGTTGGGACCGAAGTATACCGTCCCCCAAGAAAGTTTAATGATCTCTGGTCTTCGTTGAAATGATGCCTAATCTGATTGGCCGAAACTTAATGACGTAACCTAGACAGACCTGACTTGAAATAGCTTTGCCTGGACACCTGACTTATATACAACAATGAAAGTGGCTGGTTTATTCATCAACACTCCTTCAATCACACTCAACCAATACACCAGTAGAGGGTGCTCTCAATGGGATGACTGTGTGACTAGACTTTGCCCGGAGCAATGAGCCCCACGATAACCCGTGTGCGTCCAGTGCCACCGGAACCTGAATAAGTCAATGGGGCTATCTCAGGGCTAATACACCACTCACAACTTGCGCGACGAGATAGCAATCCACCCTTAATCGACCGTACGCTCCCACAAGGAACTCTGACCGCACCACCAAATAGCCCCTTAATTAACCCACAAAGCCCTTGAACGACACACGCTCCACTCGGGACTAGCCACAATAACGACCCAACGTACGAGGGTCTTACCTGTACGCCCGCTCAGTTGCTCTGCTCAAACCACAGTTCAGAGTTTTTATAACAGGATCGAACCAAATGCAAGGTTCCACTGGAACGTGTTCCCGTCGCGCGTTATATAGCCTTTGCGCTGCTATGACCACGCCCGTGTACGCGCTCACGTGACCAAGCAGTGACTTTCGCTGCCCTATCGCACTACGCACAAGGCGGAGCCTATGCGCCGCGCTCACTTAACACACAGTTATGCGCGCCTAACATCTGCCTCTGTTACTGGGCAGAGCGCCATCTATAACTTCCGCTGTGCTCTATGCCCAGCACCCTCTGTCGCGTCACAGTATGCGTTACAAAATCCAGAGGGCTAACTGTAGGGCGAAACGATATCACTTGTACAACTGTGTCCAGGCCCTGTACAAAAAGGGGCAACTTGAGCCAAAGTCATTTAACCCTCCAGATGTAGATTGGCAGCTGATTCAGAGTGAGCACAATTGCAGCATAGGTTTTAATGTCACGTGACTTACCAGAACAACGCACGAGTGCTACCCAGTAAGGTTGTGAGCAATTACCTTTATCAAATGTATGTAGTTCAAACTAAATCTTACATTTTAAAGTAGACAAGCCTTATATGAGCCATGGCCCAGGCACAGGTGCCGTGCGTGGCACATTGTTCTTCCCACATTAATGGCGGGTGGCTCAAGAGGAAGATGCTCAAGTTTCACACACACGAAGTTCTGGCACGGGTGACTGACATCATAGTCCTTGGGAAACTCCAGACTCCCAGTGTTTACAATGTAAACCAACCTGTGCACACGCATCCTTGTGCGTGAATTTGAGCCAGGCATGGCAACATGCTGGATGCCATACTTCCTCTGTGCATAGCCTTTCCACAGAAGCCTTCCAAAGGATATCCACCTGAGACATGATGTCATCATGTATTCCCGCGTACAAGGTCAACCTGCCTTTTCTGCCATTGGATAAGTCTTTTATCAAGGCCATCTTTTCTTCGTAGAGACCCGCGGGCCAAGCATTAATCATGTTTTATTAAAATAGCAGTTCAACAACAAGAGGCCGAGTCTTTATACATTTGCCTGTCATTAGAATAAACTACATATAATTAATGTTACCTTTGGACATATTAGTACAGCCGTAATGTCACACTCGCTGCAGATAGCTGGCATGGCAGCTGCTTAATCTACATGTACGTAGCGAAACAGCAAGGGCTTTGAGAGAGAGGGCGTAACAATAAATAATAACAAACCCACAGATGAGCCAAAGCAACTGGATAATATAGTGTGATTTCTGTTATCATTACTGTCTTTGTGTGAGATTTCAGAACTCAAGCATATGGACTTCCTGCGACCAAATCACTGACCAAGGCCAAGGGCATTGGGCGCTGCCATCTTGTCTTTACAGGCTGCACTACACCAAATCCGCGCCCATAGAAAACCGGAAATGATGGCCAGAAGATTACTTTTCCTTTCAGTTTTGGGGGTTAGACAGGAATTTTTTATTCGTCTTTCCCCGAAGATACCACCCAAAAAGTTGTAAAAATATGCACTCTGAATATAGTCGCCTGCCTCTGTCCAAAATAGGCCCGCAATTTGGGGCCTTTTGTGAAAGAAATACCCTGTACTAGGGTATTCATAGGAATATTTATGTTTCTATTTTTTCTGTGACCCCTCCTGATTATGGCATTTTTTTATTGTAAAAACCCCGTGGGATCACAAAATATTAATGTGCTCGCGCGTAGAAATCAATGATATGGTGGCATGCACCCTTAAGACGGCTCAACCTCGTGCGTGCCTCCGTGTCAGGCTCAAGTGGGTCGTGAGAATGTTCAATGGAAGGTGCTTTATACAAGAACGGTTGGTAACTAAGCTAAAATAAGTATTATTTTTTAATGTACACCTCTCAAACATTGTTCGAGTGAAGAACTCAATTAAAGTATTTAATGCCTGCACCTCATCCTATGGAAAAAATCTCGTGTCGTTCATTGTCACAGCAAACATTCAATTATCGTTAAGAGACCCCGTTATAGTGCTTTCTTCAGCCTTTCCTTTCCCCACTGATGCAGTCGTGCATATCAGATTGCGTAGCAACAGACTTGCGTATCAATTTTTATTTGCACGGCTAGTGGTCATTCGACAGCTTGACAGAATTCGGCGTCAGTAGGGTCCTTGAAAAGCGCGCTGGGTGCTTTCAAACACGGAATAACCTACAAATTACGAGGTGAACAGCATGAGACAACCATGGAATTTGGGTGCAATGAGCCAGTGAGTCAGATCTTAGATTTTTTCCTGCCTAAGTAATATAAAAACAATGCACGGTTGAGCCTTTAGCCATGACACTTGCAGTGGTTTGTCCCATGCTAGATTCTTTCATATTACAAACGACCACGACCAGTGTGTGGGTTCAACTGCGGGACACAGAATATACGTCATTATTGTTAAAATTGTTTGCCAATATATAATTCTTTTTTACCTGTTTTAATGTTTCGTTCATTGTCATTAGCCTCACTTTGCACAAAGGCAGCCAGTGAAACATGCACACAATTACGCATAAAATTCTTGCCATAGTATTAGAGCAGTGCCGTGCACAGCGGGTGACGGGGGGGGTAACTTCCCCCCCCCTCCCCCTTGACATATTTTTCCTCTTTTTACGAAGAAATTTCAGATGTTAGAAATGTATTATGTATTCATCAAATATCAGCTTTTGAATTCCCCCCCACACTCACACACCCAACTGTGTATTTGCCTGCAACTGGGGACTTCCTATTGTTCCTCTTTTGTTTGTACTTTAACTTTTTTAGAGGACCACCCATATGTTTTGTACACGGTTGTCAATCGGGGACCCTCTGTCAATCGGGGACCTTATTGTCCTCTATTGTTCAGGGTCCCCAATTGAATGCAGAAACAAACTCACACACACACGTCAAAAGCTGGATACGTCGCTGTATTAGAGAAATGTATGGAGCAGATCCCCCCAACACACGACCCCGTACACATACACACAAGTGTGCAAACGCCTTCAATCGTGGACTCCCTAGTGTTCCTCCTTTGTTCATACTTTAACTTTTTAGGAGGACCTCCCATATGTTTTGTACACGTTTTCCAACCGTGGACTCTTCGGCAACCGTGGACCCTATTGTCCCGTATTGTTATAAGTCCACGATTGAAGGCGTTTACACACTCACTTATACCCAGTTTTTTAGTTCAACACACGATGAACGTGATAACGTTCGAATAATTTAATCCGTTCCAATAAAAAATGTGTGAATGACTTCTAACCACACAGTCTGTATACTGGTTGGATGGTGTGCGCTCATTGAATCATTAATTGGACACCATATCCACTCGTCACATTCCATGCTGTCACATTCAAATGCTTTGCTGGCCTTGAGATCGGGACCGCCAGGACATGGGCATAGAGTGATTTTGACAAATCCGTTGGATTTATGAAACGCTGTTTAAAAAGCCATATATTCATACCTATTCAGTGTTCCATCGTTTTGAACGCATGTAAAGTTGTGGCGATGTGAGAATGTTTTTGTGGCCCAATGAAAAACTGCACTCAACAGGCTCCACCCAACTGTGACCGTTCTCTTTATTGTAGTCGTAAATATTCATGTTTGTTCTGAGAGCTGTTCGGAGGCATGCTCAGAGTAAATACTGTATCATAGACCTTTTAACTTATAAATTCGTAATTATGCACGCATGCACACAATTGGCCTTGGCGGCAAGGGCCATTGAAAATGTACACGGGTGCAATTTTGATCATTTTCTCTTTAAGGTTTCCGGAAATGTTCATTTTTTTCTCCAGAAAATCCCATTAAATCGTTTTTACTATTAGTTTCCAATCTAAGCCGGATTTCCCCGCCTAATCTCACAGGAAAAATAACGTTTCTAAAGTCTTTTTACAGAGCACCCTGGTACGTTTGCAGCCAAGGCCATTTTGTGCGCATGTGTGCATAATTTTGAATTTTTAGCGAAAAGGTCTATTAGGTACGTGGATATGACAATGTTCAGCGCTTCAGCAATGTGTACAATGAATTAAGAACTGAGTGCCCAAAAGAGTGTTGTTTGAATAGAGCTTGTGAACTGTGACTTTTAAAGCCTAGGGTAGGTACTCAGACTACTGATGTGCTGGGTACTATACTGTAACTTGGCTATATTGTCTGTAAACAACATTCAAAACACTCGGTGCTGTGGGGTTGATACCCACTACAGGTAATGAGATTAAGCGGACGCAGTTTGTTTATTTGTTTGCTGCCTCAAACGCCGATTGATGACGACAAATGACGGCCAAAACGAGATATGAAAGACTAACTGTGAATGATGTCTTCAATTATCAGGTTAGACAAAATAATTGTCCATTTCAAATAGGTCCCGGCAACATTTGAATATATACAATACTGCTCAACATGCACTTCAGTAGATCTTAAATAGCTAAAATCACGATAATGGGGTGTGTACTATGTGTTGGGTAACTCTTCCAAACGGTTACACCAAAGATTTATATTTAAACAAATGCGCACTAGTAGCTGATGTGTATTCAAAGGGTGGAAAACCAATTTCATACCGTTGCTTGCACGTTGTCACGAGCTATCTGCGCTCCTAGTTTCTATGATACAACTATGGGTTAACAAAATTGCATACTCCCACTACAAATGACCTTGGTACATCGTCATTGTAACTGGATTCGTATGTAACAATGGAGGGGGTTGTGTAGGCCTGCAAAAAATTATAACTCTGTATTGACCGACTGGCACTGGATTCTTCACTCGCTCATAAGGAAGGAGATGTACTGCAATTACAGTACCGGTACTGAATGGACAATACAAGTTATTGAATGAATACCATGAGATGTTGAGTTTACATCGTGAAGTATAGGATTACTTGAAGTAAACACCTTTTTAACGCCGTTTGGTATCAAATTAGTACTGTGTGGCATTTAAATAAAACTAGTTTTAACAGCATGAGTTCTGTTTCACACTGGATACGTCGTCGGACTTTGACGAAAGGATTTGACTTCTATGTCGTTCATACCTATCTGTTGTTCTCCCTGTTATTCGCTGTTTTTGAACTCCAAACATTAATTTTATAAATCTGGTCTTTTGGGGTTCAATGTAGATACCACTTGATTTTTTTTATCATTCTAGAATAGAATGACCTAAAGATCGCTTCGGATCGTAAGGTGAGTAGTGCTATGAATTGAGTGACCTTTATTGTGTGTTTTCTATGCTTACTATCTTCTTGCAGCAGAGTGGTCTTCATTAGGCTACAGTCACTCGTCCCATTTTTCCTCCTCCAGTGACAGTGGCCCAAGTTGCCTTGGTAAGTTGATTCCAATACATGTTATGTGAATTCTAGAGGAGTCATAGCTTCTGTGATGCGCAGCGAAAATTTGAGAATCAGGGAAATAAAAACTTTCCTGACAACATTTTGCGCATACACTTTTATTAGAACTCAAAGACGAATTAGCTGAAATAGAGCACTGAAAAGGTTAAACAAAAACCGACCGCCACCCGGCATTTATAATCCGCTGGATATCTCAAATGAAATTGAGTGTTATTAGAAATTTTTACGTTGAAAAATGAAAGACACAGGGACAGTTGATATTCATGGAAACATTTACACTTACAGCTGGTCATTTTTATTTACTAACAAGATTTTTGGATTAACCTTGTGATGTGGACAAGATAGTCACTGTGGTAGTTTGGGCAGATATCTCTGTAGTGCTCCAGGATTTGCAAAGAAGTGGTGTATTACATCCACTTCTACAGGCTTTTCCCCCTAATTGTCATTTTAATGCAATCCGTGCAGATATCTGCGGCAATTCTTCAACACAACTTGTTTGGAGCGTTCCTTACGTTATTAACTACGCACTCCCGGACGGATCCGAGTGGTTTGAAGAGGAGATCTGCAACTGCTCTTGGCTGATCGCGGCGCCTGACGACAGCGTCATCGAGGTTAGCGTGATTAGAAACAGGCCACCGAATGGCCCACAAATCTCCGTGTACTCGGACGATGAGGGCGCTAAGAGCTCCTTGATGTATGAGCTACAGCACGGCGAACTTGGTATCTACTACTCAAATGTGTCTACAATTCATATTGCAGCAACCCACCCCACTGATTTCTCGTTTCAGTTCAAGCCGGTGGTCTGTGATATCAAACTGACTGCTTACGAAAAACAAGGTACTGAAGGTTCTGATAATAATGCCGGGGAATACAAAATATTGATAACTTTTTAAAAGTCATACATTTATAAATGAATTTACAAAGAAATTTCGAGAGAGCTACATGTATTGCGTAATGTATGTGTTATTTTCAATGTAAGCATTGAATGGCATGCGTTTTCATTTCTTTTCTTTTTTTTTAATTAACCAACTACCTCGGCAGAATGCAGCCCAGACCAGTTTAAGTGTTACAACCAGCAGTGTTTGGTGGGAGATAGGCAATGTGATGGTAAAACGGATTGCCAGGTTCATGAGGACGAATATGGATGTGGTATGTGGTAACCATTTTATTACCCGATACAAGCATTTTTAATATACCCAAGGATATAATTCAATCCAATGATATGACATCTTTGAAGGACTTCGCAATGTTTTTTTTTTTATTTCAGGGATTAATTGTTCCAGTGTTGACCAATATGTATGCCCTGCGTCAAGTACGTGTATTGGATCCCACTTAGTCTGCGACGGTCATGGAGACTGCCCGGGCATTTTCGATGAGCTAAACTGCGGTAGGTTGTGAAAAGGGCAGACATCCCTTAGAGGCTATTTGCGATATGCAATAACCGTGTAGACTTCAAAATTGTTGATTTCAATACGTTAATTTCAGAAAGTGGTCCGTGGTCCTTTACAGTTCTTTAATTCCAGGGCGTACTTTTGCAGTGACCATGTGCGCATTCAAGGAGAATGTTTCGGTTTTATGGAAGGAGTTCACACTTTTTTTGAGGTTAATATATACGAAGAGAAAGATTCCCTCACAAAGAATTTTTGCAGACATATACCTTTATTAAAAAGAGGACATCCTTGTCGGGTGACGTATGCAGAAAGGTATTTTGTGTCTCTATCGACAACAAATAATAAGAAACAGAAAGGGTGCATTGCATCGCTGCAAAAAAAAAGTTATCATAGGATCGTGCGGCGGCGTATCAAGTTTTTGGTGTCGGGAGGCAAATCCAAAAGTAAACGCACTTTCGGACTCATACAACGTGATAACGGGGGAGAAAATATAGCCTATTTATTTTGATATATAAATGTACAGATTATTTTTTTTCCTACTCACCTATGAAGTAATCTCAGTAAAAAAGAACCCCCCTCCAAAAAAATAACATAAATGTAAATGTGAAGTAACCCCAGCGGTGTTGAGGTAACACATTTTGGTGTGATCATTCGATAATACCGAGAAATGTTGCTTTTAACACCAGAGTTTTTACGGTTGTTTCTCACTCTACGTTGTCTCCTCCAGGACGCTGTGGCGACCCCCACATTGATCTAGGCTTCAATCCAACGGTTTCTATTACCCAACCTGTCGACTTTGCCGTGGGCTGTCTCTGGCTGGTTACAGCATCTAGTCACAGTCACTCTAGATTCCGAGTTGACATCATAAATTTGCCAGTCGTCGTACACGGGTCTACCACCACGCAACCCGCGTCGTTGTCCCTGGGTCACGGGCGTGACCCTGCTAACGGGCACAAGTTGGTCAGAACCATGAACAGCACTACGTACCCTGCAGTTGTCACATTGGATAGTCCAGTCATGTGGATCATTCTGGATACGCACTGTGACGCAAGCGAGTTGCCCGCCAAGTGGTTGGATTGTTTGGAGTTCACATTATCGGAATACGACATTAAGGGTATAGAAATGTTCAAGTTCGTTTTTATATTAAAGAAAGCCTCTTTACATGTTTTAGATCTTCCTGCTCTCTGTGGCGCAATGGGAGGAGGTTGGACATCGTGAACTATGATGTGCGAGTACATTCTGGTCCAGGCCCCCTCCCCAACAAATTTTGGGTTGTCCTCGATTTGTACATCAATCCATTTTTTTCCAAATCCGGAATACCAAGTTTAAACGCTAAAGCACGCTTATTCTTTAGATTAATAAAGTTGGTAAATTTTATAGTGTATTCATATATGCATTCTGTGTTTACAAAGAAGCAAGATATAGCCTGTCTTTTTGGAATATTTGTTATCTTCTGGGAATTTTGGTATATAATGCGAAAATGATTATGTTGTTTTCAAACAAGGGGTTGGACGGAATTTTGCAACCCCCCCTTTGGCTTATGATGCTCAAGGCCTACCCCCCCACACACACACGCACCCACAAACAGACACGTTGTGACACTTGGATGCACTCCTATCAGGGGGAGTAGTTTCAGATGTAACAAAAAAACAAGCATGAAAACCTCTTGGGGGCTCAAGCTCCTTAACCCCCCCCCCAAATAAAATACGTCCACTCTCTGGCGACAGACGGTAGCTCGGAGGTAGGACGGCTAAAATGTCCAACATCAGAGTTTCTCCATTTCCACCAAAGCAAGCAAGCTCTCGAGCAGCGTTTAAGAACAGCAGTGTCTTTATTATAATAATGTAAATTCATTTTTAAGGCGCAAGGTCTTTCACTGTCTCCCTACTTCAAAGGCGCCTACATCAGTACATCAAGAAATTCTTTTCGTTTTGTCAGAATGCCCCAGCAACCAGTATGCCTGTTCAGCAGGACTTCTATGCATTGATAGAACTCGACTTTGTGACGGCGTAGCAGACTGTCCTGAATTTGATGACGAATTTGGGTGTGGTAAGTTGCCTTGTTGCTTTAAGGACTAATTTGATATTCGAATCACGGAATCACCCTTTTGTTCTTAATTGTTGTGATGAGGGAATTATGCAGTGGAAATTTAGGCCAAAATGAATTCATGCATATTACTATATGCTTCATCAAACCACGATGTGGACGCTTTTTTTTCATTGGAAGTGAAATGAGATTGTCCCTTTTTGTCGTTTGTAAGAAAGCACTCATATCAACGTATGTACGAGGGCGCTCTTTTAACGTTGTCCTACATTGCACTCCATGACAACAATACAAAAATCAGTCCTTCAAGATCACTCACCAACGATATTATGAAAATAATATAGATCACAAACGTTATCCAAACACTTCATACAGGGTATCCACATAAAAAGTATACCGAGATAAAAATACTTAAAAACTACTTATATATGGGGAAGAGAAACATCTCTCTAGAAAGGGCAAAATGTCCTCTTTGCAATGGTATACAGCTTGTGATGTTATTGACACAGGTGAGTGAACAAACTAGACCGATGTTAAAGGGGCTGAATCGGCAATGTGACATGTTTGCATATATGATTAACGAGCTCAACCATGCAAGTGAGTGGAATACGAAATGCCTTTGCTTCAAGAATACATTATTGAAAGGAATGTATACCTCGATCAATCTAATCTGCTTTGTTTTGCTACTTACCTAATAAGTTTAATGTGTTGTGCCTGCCACATGGCCGCCATTCCTGTCAATGCACATCTGACATCTCCGTAACATGTCCTTTACTGCTCGTCTGATCATTTCAGGGTCTCGATAAAGATCACTGAATTCTTCAATCATCCTTGCACGCAACTCCTGAATGTTGGCTAGGAGTGTAGTGAAAATTTTGTTTTGCAGGTAACCCCACAAAGTGAAAACGCATGGTGCCAAATCTGGCGAACGGAGCTGCTATTCGACTTCATTGTAAAAAGAAATTTCTCTGTTCCTTAAACGTTCTGCCAGACGTTGCCTCACAGCAACTAGTCTGTAGGGTAGGGCGCCATCCTGAGCCCACCACACCCTCCTGAAAGCTCCACATCGTTGTCTCTGTAGGAGGTCTGTTCAAATGCCTGTACCAGAGATTCATTAATGAGATGCAAATAGTCCTGTCAATTTAAATTTCTTTAGAAGAAAAATGGTCCTAATAATGATCCATTGCCACACAATCCAACCCAGGCATTCATCCCCTCCCTGCTCGTGTTTAGATTATAGGACGCATCTGCAGGTGGATTACAACGTTCAGCATACAAGTGCTCGTTATAAAGTTTGAACTGTTAGGTTCATGCAAAAATCTTCCTAGTCTCCAATAATAAAAACTTGCTGTTACATTTATCCACCAACCACCGTGAAAATGTCACTCTTCTGTCATAATCTGCTGGCAGGAGTTGATGCTGAAGATGGATTCGATAGGGATGCAGTTGTAATTCCATTCTTGTGATGTTGTTGAATGTGGTATACCACTACCGTTTCTCCTGCTGCTGATCCTTGGGATTCTTTCAACAGCTTCTTTCATTAATTTGATCTTTTCCTGAGACCTTCCAGTTCTTGGACGTCAAGATCGACCTGTGTTACTGTTTCAAATTGTGCCGTGTTCGCCGTACTGGTTTTTTAAACATATTTCCAGACAGTCCGTTTTGTTGGCGGTTTCCTGTCCTGAAAACGAATGCTCAGGCTGATGGCATTTTCAGTTGCAACGTAGCTTTTTGTTTCATGGTACGTCTGGACAACAAATGCCCTCTGCTCAGGTTTTAACCGGACCATGTTTACCTATGAAGTGCAAGTTGTCTACAGCACGCAATGCTTCTGCTGCATCCAGTAATCACATTACACAATGCAGGTAGGATGATCATTCATGTGTTGCAAAGGTAAAAGCGTTTGGCCTTCACCCTGCATGGTGACTTTCGTTATTCAAAATATGCAACTGGTCACAGTTCTTAAAGCAAAGACATTTGGTATTCTGCACACTTGCTGGGTTGAGCCTCGTTAATCAAATATGCAAACTTGTCACAGTGCTGATTTCAGTACCCTTGACATTGTTCCAGTTTGTTCACTCATCTGTGTCAAGAACATCACAAGCTCTACTGCAGAGGGCATTCTGCCCTTTCTGGAGATATATTTCTCTTTCCTAATTATAAAGTAGTTTTGCCATTACAGTAACGTTTATTTCGGTATACTTTTTATGTGGACACCCTGTATTGACATGAAAATTACGTATAAAGTGGAACCTATATACCCCAATAAAATGTACAAAGTGTAGTGCACACATGTATATTGTGCACAAAGCAATGGAGATACCCCTGTTCAAATTTGAATAGCATTGCAGTTTGGTTCATGAATATGGAAATCATATTAATTAGTATACAATCCAAAATGTCCAAATCTCTACTTAAATTGCTGAAAAGGAAGGGAAAATCGTACAATCGTCAGTAAAGCCGTAGTACGTGTATTCACGTTATTTAAATCTTATTCCTAATGGTTTGTTTAAAATAACAATCTACCGCATACATTCCGATTTAGTTATCGCTAATTCACAATGATTAGTCACATGAAGACAGTCCAAATGCGACGAAATTGCAGTTTGATGCAGTATTTACTTTAAGTGTGTTTTTAATGATCTTGTGAATGTTGTCTTTGTCAGTCACCTGCGATCACTGCTGTCATAATGAACAGGTGCTTGGAACGGACAGAACTGATTTGATTTAGAGGTAGCCAAACTGCTACGATTTGGTCAGTGACTGGGTGCACTAATAAACATCACAATGATCATGTGATTACTTGTTTTTTTGTCAAACGTTCTAGCGATTTAATTGTTTGTTTGTTTGTTTGTTTGTTTGTTTGTTTGTCTGTCTGTCTGTCTGTCTGTCTGTCTGTCTGTCTGTCTGTCTGTCTGTCTGTCTGTCTGTCTGTCTGTCTGTCTGTCTGTCTGTCTGTCTGTCTGTCTGTCTGTCTGTCTGTCTGTCTGTCTGTTTTCCTTTCGTACATAGACCTATAAAAACAACTTTAGTACGTCGAACAAGTTTCCTTTTTGAAAATCTTTGCGTAGTGTCGACTTTGAATTCAATATTATTACTTTAAAAGTAATAATTAATCCAGGTACGTATACAGCTGCCCTTTCATTCCCTGAATAAGACACTCCATGAACCTTTTCACCAGGCTCTTGCAGTACCAACATGTTTACCTGTCGGAATTTGGGCGGCTGTGTTGATGCTTCCATGTTGTGCGATGGCCAGCACGATTGCACCGACGGGTCGGATGAAGGCAAATGCGGTACAGACGTTTACTTATAATACCACATTACTGTATGTATGTCAGGGTCATTCAGCGTCAAATCAAACACTTTCCCGTGTCAGTCTGTCTCACAGATATTCTTAAAATTTGCTCTATTAATTTGGTTTATTTGCAAAACCAAGACCCATTTGCAGCGTTCTGGGAATTCATGAGTTTAATACTA